GTCTGTTCCGGCAAAAGCAGGCCGCTGCTCTTTGCATGTCGCAAGGCCCATTCATCCTCCATGCTCGTGGCGGCCTCGAATTCCTCGTCAGCTTAGCCTGGTTATAGGGTTCAGGGGGTTTAGGGTTTAGGGTTTAGGGTTTAGGGTTTAGGGTTTAGGGCGTAGCGTTTCACCCGCCTCCAAGACGCAGCAAGCACCAGCAGGCCACAGCAATGTCGTTTCCTGTGCTAAACTTCTTCTAGGCACCCTGGGATAGTTGCCATGTTTCCCCTTATTCGGCCGAAGAGTTTCAGAGTACCATAGAAGCCTCAATGATTAGAATAGGATTTTGGGGGTTATTATAGTATAATTGTAAAGGAACCATGAGGGAAAACTATTAGTAGTTATTCCGACCCCCCATAGTATTCAATCAGAAGGTTTCAAGGGCCAGCCTCGTCCACAAATGACTCAGGCCGACAAGCAAGACGATCAGTATGTCGCAGGGCAGGACTGCCTACGGGGGCTCGGGCCGAGGGGGTTCGGATTTAGGGTTTAGGGTTTAGGGTTTAGGGTTCAGGGTTTAGGGTTTAGGGTTTAGGGTTTAGGGCTTAGGGCCTAGAGGGGATGTTGGGTTTTTGGGTGGCTATGTGCGAGCGTTGGCGTGGTTTTCAAGCACCCTCCCCTCCCCTCCTCCACCCGCGCTCTCAAGCGCAGCCTTGGACCCAACTGTCAACCTATTCCTTCGATCATTTGACCGCTACTCTCCGAAAGGTCCCAAAAAATCTCCGAATCTTGTACACAAGATTCCTAGTCCGACCCTCGCCGTACTGCTAATCAGAGCGGTGAGATCAGGGTTCGACCCATCAATCGTTTGGCTTCCCCCCACATTTTCGGGTTTTCGGGAGGGGAGCAGTGGTTCGGGTTCTTCATGTCTGCTGGGCTGAGGATTCCGGGTTTGCGAAACATTGCAAGGGTTCGGGGGCTTCGGCGCTCAGGGCTGTTCAGGGCTGTTTAGGCTTTCTAGGTGGTCTTGTAGGGCTCTTGAGGGACAGGGGGTCCAGAGGGGGGTTCATGAGGGGTAGGTGCCTAAGGAACCTTTAGGGAAGCTTTGGGAGCCTGTGTAGGGAGCATTAGGGAACCTTGGGTTACAGACCACCCTAAACCCTAAACCCTAAACCCTAAACCCTAAACCCTAAACCCTAAACCCTGAACCCTAAACCCTAAACCCTAAACCCTAAACCCTAAACCCCCCTCCCTTAAGAACCCTATAATGGTGGTGCTTCTTAGATCGAGGACATCGAGGCCCGAGCGACTTTCACAGCTTCTTTCGAGGCTCGGGTAGGGCCCTTTGAGCGAATTCTACATCGTTTAGGAGGTTTAGGGTTTAGGGTTTAGGGTTTTAGGGTTTTAGGGTTTTAGGGTTGGAGGACTCAGCAGCTGAGTAAGTAACCTTTAGCCTTTTGGGGTAGATAGAACCCTACCATAATTGAAAGGTTCAGCTTCTTTGGCCCAGGGTACTCAGCAGCTAGAATGAAGTGCTCGGGAGGAAAGCCCCACAACCCTAGAGCCCAAAGGCTCGCAAGCTTGCCAGCGAACGGTTTCAGGGCCTTGCAAGAAGCGCGTTTTTGCCGACTCTAGCAGACAGAGGGCAGGGGCAGATGGGGTCCAGAAGAAGCCCTGCAAGTTTAGAAACTGACAGTAGTTCAGGGTTCAGGGTTTAGGGTTTATGCAAGACATCGTGCACATCCGATGATCCAGAAGCAGTCGACTTGTGGAGCCACTAGGGTAAAGAGGGTTTAGGGGGCTTTTAGCGCAACCCGAGCTCGGGTCCCCGGCTCAGATGCAGGGACTTGTGCTGTATTTGCAGCTTAGGGCTTTGGGTGTAGAGGTGTTGGTGCGAGTCACTTTCATGGCTTCTGATCTTTGTACAAGATTCTGGGAGCTTCCAGCACATGTGGTACCCTTGACACTCCCCACGTATAGTAGAAAGCTCCTCAGAAGGACCTCCGATGGGGATCCGACTTTTCGGAAAGCCCAGGTCTCAGCAAAAACACTCTGTCATAGTGGGGTAACATTTTACATGTTTAAGGGTACTTAACCTCAATAAGGAATAGTGACTTACATGTTTAATACTATCCCAACTAGAACAAGCCAAAGCAACAATCGGCCTTCTGACATCCCGTCTCTCTCAGACAGGTGGAAGCGGCCAGCACCTCAGACTTCATTCCCCTTCTACCGACGACTGCCGGAAGTGTCCACAAAGCAAATTGTTTCGGCAGGGGTGTGCAGAAGACAGGTAGGGTCCTGAACCTGAAGCCCTTTAGCCAGCACCCAACGGCCCTGAACCCGTCAAGGTGTCAATTTCTGATCGCTGCCGGTGGTCCACCATCACATCCCCAAAGCTTCTAGCTTCCAGTCTTGCGTTGGAAGATTGCCCTACCCACGAGCTGTCTGGGTGCGCCGGATTGGGCCCTTCTATCCTGCCTGCCTTGTCTTCGGCAAGGATGCACGGATGAATTCAAAGAAAGGGCCACGGCCCGATCTAAGAGCCAGGCACGATGCTGTGGTCTTCAGACGGGAACATCAGTGCTTGCGGAGCCCTTCAGGCCAACGTGCCAGCACCGGGCGCATGACAGCAAGACCATGGGCTAAAGTGCTTGCTGGGGGCTACCGAACTCAGGCCATGCCTGATTCCACATTGCTACTTCGGGGAGGCCCACGTGCAAAAATCTGTAGGTCTGCATGATGCTTTGTGGGAGCGCGGGCGAGGGCGGTTTGGGAGAGGTGTGAGTGTCAATGTAGCTCGAGCCCGAGCTGTGTTGAGTGTACTAAGACAGGCCACTACTTTGAAGAGAATCCTTTGATGCAGAGACGCCGGTATCCAGTTTCGCAAGTTTCTAGCATCCAGTTTTGGAGTCCATGTTTCGGAATTTCTGGCCTCGTTGTTCGTTAGAAGATTGCCCTACCCACGAGCTGTCTGGGTGCCGCTGTCGCTTCTGTGACAGCGCAGGCGGCTCGCGCACCAGTGGCCGGGTGCGGGGCAAGCCTTGTGGAGCACTTGCCCCGGATTGGGCCCTTCTATCCTGCCTGCCTTGTCTTCGGCAAGGATGCACGGATGAATTCAAAGAAAGGGCCACGGCCCGATCTAAGAGCCAGGCACGATGCTGTGGTCTTCAGACGGGAACATCAGTGCTTGCGGAGCCCTTCAGGCCAACGTGCCAGCACCGGGCGCATGACAGCAAGACCATGGGCTAAAGTGCTTGCTGGGGGCTACCGAACTCAGGCCATGCCTGATTCCACATTGCTACTTCGGGGAGGCCCACGTGCAAAAATCTGTAGGTCTGCATGATGCTTTGTGGGAGCGCGGGCGAGGGCGGTTTGGGAGAGGTGTGAGTGTCAATGTAGCTCGAGCCCGAGCTGTGTTGAGTGTACTAAGACAGGCCACTACTTTGAAGAGAATCCTTTGATGCAGAGACGCCGGTATCCAGTTTTCGAATGCTGTACGTTGGGAGATTCCCGAACGAGCGCATGCTGATCTCATGTTTTCTGATCCCCGCCATTGATCCCCGCGAATCACATCACATCCCCGAGTTTCTATGTACATGTTTAGGAATTTCTGGCGTTGTTGTCGCCGCTGTCGCATTTGCGACAGTGCTCACCACTGGCCGGGTGTGGGGCGAGCCTTGTGGAGCCCTTGCCCATGGGCTAAAGTGCTTGCTGTGTAGCCCTAAACCCTAAACCGGTCTTGGGGTTGAAGGGGATCTTGTGTCGGAACATTTCATTTTGTGCAGGGGCTGCCCTAGCTCAACATCAAACCGGAAGAAACTGGAGCATGGACTACCCCAACTTGCCGGGTTTAGGGTCCAATATTTAGGCGTTAAGCCTTAAACCCTAAACCCTAAACCCCCAAAACCCGAAGCCCTGAACACGCTGGAGTCAGAGTTCTCACCATTGGCAAGAGGGAGCTGCTAACCCTAAAACCCCTGTACAGAGGATGACCCCCCAAAACCCGCTAAACCCTAAACCCCAAACCCTATAAGCCCTAAGCCCTCAGCCCTGAACCCTGGACCCTGGACCCTGAACCCTGAACCCTGAACCCCGAACCCTGAACCCTGAACCCTGAACCCTGAACCCTGAATGAACTCTTACCCTATGAACTCTGAGGACGACCACCTTGAGGTGAGCCCACCCTACCGGCAGTTTGCTGCCAAGGTGGGTGCCACTGTGCAGCTGACCTGCACACAGCAGTGGTGGCGGGAGGGGGGGGGGGGGTAGGACTTAGGGGTTTTGAGGGTTCTGGGGTTCTGAGGGTTCTTAGGGGTTTTAGGTTTGTTTAGGGTTTTTTGGTTTTTTTGGGGTTTGAGGGCTCAGGTTTAGTGAGTGGGCCTGTAGGGATCCGAGACCCTGCCGCACCAAGGATATGCTTCTTGCTTCTGACTGTCGTCTTGGAGGTGTACGCAAAGGCGCCGGGGGTTGAGGTGCCAGAGCTTTCTGCCGGATACCTCCGAATCTCTTTCCCAAAACGCAATCTTAGCCCAAGAGCTCTAAACCTCATGGGACTACCTTGGACCCTTAAGGTTGTACCCATTGAACATCTGCTATTGGCATATTTGGGCTACATCAGGAGCATATGAAGGGCTTAAGGGAACCTCTTAGGGGGACATCCTAGGGGCCACCCAGAACCCAGCCGAAGAATCAAATCTCTAGTGGCTCGGGTTTTTTAGCCGCAAAGCCCCGAACCCCAAACCCGGGTCTTCCCCCCAGTTTCGGGTTGTACTTGCACAGCACTTGGTTGCTGTTTTAGGACGTCGGCGACCAGGCAAGCCCCAAGCTTTACACACCAACTCGTTGCACTTTGCCAAAAGATCGCTGCGCGGCATGAGAAGCATCAAAGTTGCGCCGGATAAGCCCTAAACCCTAAACCCTAAACCCTAAAGGCCACCCGCACAACTTAACACCCTGTATCCCTCAGCCCATTCTGCTCCAGGAAGCTGTGCACGAATTCTCGGCCAAGTTGATGCATGCGATTGGGCCGCGATACCCAGATTTAGAGTTTAGGGTTTAGGGTTTAGGGTTTGGTTTAGGGTTTTAGGGTTTAGGGGTTTGCGGAGAGCAGGTTGACTTAGGGCATCTATGATCAGCGTTTTTTGGGGCATTTCCCGTAATCCCGGGTATGGCAACAGTCCAAAGAGCCCTGGACCATAAATGCCCTAAACTCTAAACAGATTTTGGGATAGGGTTTATGCTTTGTAAGGCTTCTATGCCTTATCGGGCTAAATTATAAGGCCTGCAGGGTATGCAGAATTTATTGGGTTTGTAGGGCTTTGGGCTTACTATTAGGCTTACAGGGCTGAAAAGGTTTGTAAACCCTAAACCCCTAAGCCCCTAAGCCCGAAGCCCTAAACCCTAAACCCTAAACCCTAAACACTAAACCCTAAACCCTGGAAGTAAGGGAACCCCCAAGCCGCCACCCATTCAAAAAGCCCTGGAAGCCTAAGGCAGCTGAAGGTCCATCTACACCCCCACACGACAAGAGCCATCCCCAAAGCCCTATATTTTCCTTAAAGCCTCCCCCAAAAGAACAGCCCTAAATCCTAACAATCTAGAACCACCCTGAATTCCAACAACCTAGAACCACCCCTAAATCCTGACAATCTAGAACTCCACCCTGAATTCTATCAACCCTGAAGGCCAGGAAAAGCCCTAAACCCTAAACCCTAAACCCTAAACCCTAAACCCCAAACCCCAAACCCCAAACCCTAACCCCAAGAGGCTGCCAGGGCTTTTCTTGGCTGTCCTTGTGGGGGACGGCCTGCCGCATCCTCGGGTTGCTTGGGGTTAGGGTTTAGGGTTTAGGGTTTAGGGTTTAGGGTTTAGGGTTTAGGGTTTAGGGTTTAGGGTTTAGGGTTTAGGGTTTAGGCCTTGGGTGGAGCTTATGGCTTCCCATGGCTAAGCTCAAAGCCCCGATCGCTAAAACTTAAGACCCGAGGGGTTTAAGGGTTTTAGGGTTTTCGGGTTTTAGGGTTTTAGGGTTTTGGGGTTTTGGGGTTTTAGGGTTTTAGGGTTTAGGATGTTAGGATGTTAGGATGTTAGGATGTTGGGGTTTAGGGTTTAGGGGTTTAGGTGTTTAGGGAGCCTTCTTTGAGCCAACTTCAACCCTTAGTCGCTAAGCCCACCCGAAGCCGCGAAGGCAGCATCACATCCTCCACCCCAATCCCTACTTACTACTTAACCCTAAACCCTAAACCCTAAACCCCTAAACCCCTAAACCCTATAAACCCTATAGTCAGATCTATAGGGACTACAAATCATCTTGGCCCGTTTTTTTTTGGGGTTGATCCAGACGAAGTTTGCGTGGTTCTCAGCAACCCACTCTTGACTTGAGTTGTCTCTAAGTCGGGAGTTCGCCAATTCTCTGTAAGCCCTAAACCCTCAAAGCCCCTAACCCACCCCCCCCAAAAAAACACCTTCAACCCTAAACTACCCTAACCTCAACCCCAAACCCTAAACCCCAAACCCTAAACCCTAAACCCCCAAAGCCCCTGAACCCCCCCCCCCCCCCCAAACACCTTCTTCTGAGTCCCCAGGCCGCAGCCCCTCACTTACGTCCCGCTCATTTACGTGGCGGTGAAGGCGCGACGGCTACTCGGAGGTTCCCAGGACTTCTAGCCTGGAGCCTTGGGAGCTGAGTAGGGTTTAGGGTTTAGGGTTTAGGGTTTAGGGTTTGGGGTTTGGGGTTTGGGGTTTGGGGTTTGGGGTTTGGGGTTCAGGGTTTAGGGTTTCCTTGGTCCTCGTGAGGACCAGGGGCGGAGGGCGCAGGAGCGGCCATCGAAAAGAGGGATCTAAGGGAAACCAGGACTACACCCAGAAAGCCCCAGCTTCAACCAAACCCTCAAGACGGAAAAAACCCTGGACGGGGACCACCGGGCTAGGGGGGGTCCGGAAGAGGCTAGACCAGCCTAAGCTAGAGGAACCACCCGGGAAACACCCCCCAAAACCCTCACACCCCAATCCAGGCACGCACTTTTTCATGCTTGAGCCAAAATCCAGTCGCAATGCTTACATATGCGGAGCTCTGCTCTCGCCTGTGCCGAAGCAATGCTTACATATGCAGAACATCCTGCACACAAAGGCATGGTGCCCTTCTCCACTTCAGCCTTCTCAGAGGCTTCCCTTATCCCAACACTCCTCCTTGGGCTGTTCTCAGCACAGATTCAGCCCACCAGCTCATACAGAGATTTTCGACCGTCGCAGTAGGCACACATGCCCTTTGCATCGATGTTCGTGTAGGCGCTCTTCAGGCCTTGACAATCTCCGTAAAGGTGGACGTGATCTCCCCGCTGAGATGCAAAGAAGGGGCCCCGAAACTTCACATAAGCTTCACGAGGGGTCTGAGTGTTGGCATCTCGTGTCCTTCGCCGCGTCTGACGTACAGGAGGTGGCGGTTCTTCCCAAGAAGAGGCCGACCTATCCAGCGAGGGAACCGGACCGCGCCCTTCTGGAGCGGATGCAGGGCTGTGCCTTGGAGCTAGCTCAGGTGTCATAGGGCCATTCTGTCCCAAACCATACGAACCCAGCTCCTGCTGCACAGCCTGTTGCAGTCGCCGTAGCCGCCGAGCATTCCTTGCCTCCGAGACTGAACAATCCCTCTTCAGAGCGTACCACTCGAACAGCCACTTGATCGCCTCCCATGCACCAATCGCAGCCACCAAGCTGACAAAAACCAGCGCATAAAACTCCCAAGCAACACTGATTTGTATCCCTCCAACATCCTCAGCAGGAACATTCGAACTTCGCTTTGTCGAGGCTCCACGAGTACCCTGAACCAACCAACCCAAAAGCAACACCAATCTAGCTATCACCCCAACCACCCCCGGTGTTGTAGTGTGTGCCGTTGCTGCAGTGCTGCCTGTTGCTGGTCCCGGCTGCTGCTCTCTTGGCGAAGTTGTTCCCAATCCCCACATACGGCAAAGCTCCAGGAGTCTTGGCTTCGAGAAGGCCTTTGTACCTAAGTCTCCTAATTGAGAAACACCAGGGATATGTCGAAGGGTAATCTCCTTGAGACGCACCGCCTCACGAAGATGAAAGGCACGAACTCGTAGGTGACGAGTTTTCCAAGTTCCAGCTGCCTCGGAACACAGTCCTACAGCAGCCTGATTGTCGACGTAAAGTCCCAGGCGAGGAGGGTCCGGCCTGATTTCGGAGGTAAAAGATGAGAGTCCATAGACCATCTGGATGGCATTGACAGCCTCTATGAGCTCTGCCTCGGCAACAGACAGAGAAACCAGTGGTTGTCTCCCACATCGCCAAGATATGGGGCACCCCAGATAGCAAGCCAGCGAGCAACCGATGCTCCGCCCCTCTTGGGGGGCGAAGCTGGCATCACTGTAACCCTCCACATCATGGTTGTGGGTTGTCGGCTCGTAGAACAAGAACCAATCGGCCGTCGCCTTCAAGTAGCCCAAGGTTCTCATGCCGATGCGCTCCACAGTCTCAGGGTCCCTCACGCACAGACTGCTCATGGTGGCAACTGTGTGTATCAAGTCTGGCCGGCCCTTTGTTGAAAGCCAGAGAAGTTCGCCAGTGATTTTCTGAGCACGCCTCAAGGTCTGCTCGTCGTACTGCTTCTCATCAAAGTTCACCTCCCCCAGCAGCCATGACTGAGGACATGGCGTCCCGTGACCATGCCCCTGAACATCATAGTGTCGAAGTACCTCAGATATGTAGCCAGTCTGCCCGATCTTGAAGCCGTTGAGCGTCTCGTAGATCTCTAGCCCCAGGAAACGAACTGGCTGTTCCATGGATGCCCATGTCAAATCCGAGGCCTTCCATTCTTGTGTGATCCACCCATGAGTAGCCGCAACGACCTCCTCCTCACCCAGATACAAGATGTCGTCAACATAAACGTTGACGAATGCCCGAACTTCTTCCTGCATCGTTCCATCTGGGCCAGGCGTCATGACCACCACACTCCAAACATTCTCATCCGCCCTGTGCTGTCTGAGGAAGGCATCCAGCTCTCCCACCTTGAATCGAGCTCGCCTCAGTCTGTTGTCCCGGAAGGTACTCCACAGCTTCGGAGAGCGCCTAAAGCCATAAAGAGCTCGGTCCACCCGAAATAAGCACTTCGCAAACGGTATTTCCGCCGCCTGGAACACCTTGGGAGGGTAAAGGCAATGCACCACCTCGCCATCGTCCATCGGGGCCAAGATGAAGGCATTCCTGATGTCTGTTCCTGCTGCCTTCCAAGGACGTGATCCACCTCGTTTGTGTGCGGCATGAACAATCATCGCCCTCAAGGACTCCCCTTGACATCCCCCTGCATAGCTGTCTTCCTTCTGACTCCTTCCCTCGAAGTTGCCACATATGACAAGACGAGCCTTTCTTTTGAAGAATGAAGGCGACCCCTTCACCAACTCTCTTCCAGGATCATCAAGCAGCTCAGGATTGTCTGGAGGTTTTGCCGTGAAGACTCCTTTAGCCGGAAGTATAGATAACAATCCCGCCCTCTCAAGACGACGATGCTCCTCCTCCGTGAGGGGAACCAAGGCTCCCGCATCCAGCAGAGCCTTCATCTCCTTTCCAATGGCCTCCTTCCACCGCGGAAGGAATTGCTTCACCTCGTCAAGCTGTACAGTGTATACGACCTGAAGAGGACCTTCAAGGTTCTCCAAGACAGGCTCGACACCATGTTTCCCGTCATCATCCTCCACAAAGCGACATAGCCGGAACCAATCCCCAACCGAGTAGGTCTTGTAAACCTTCTGCGACTCCCTTTGCTCCAAAGCCCTTTCAGCTTCCAACGTCGCCTGGTTCACACCCTCAAACAGTTCTTGATAGTCCTCCGGCACACATCGTCGTAAGTTGTGTTCCTCATCTAGCACACAGCGAGACCAATAGCGGCCATCCATCTCACCCTCTTGGTCCTCCACCAACCACTGGGACTCATCCATATCGTCACCAGCGTCTTCACCTCCAGCGGACTCCATCCAACCTTCAGTGGTTTCATTATCCGGAACAGCGTCAGTAGTTGTCGACACTGGTTCCACCAATCTGCTCATGCAAAAGACGTTGCCATCCTCGCCACCCTCGTCGGCCCTAAAGACTCGCACCACAGGCGGTGTTTTTCCAACCACGCGTCGTTCAGGATGCCAGTCATCACCTTCATCTTCGTACGGAGGTAGTTCGGGTAGGCGACGGACATTTGTTGTGTACCAAACATTGCCCTGCACGGTGCGAACAACATGACCATGGGAGACTGTCTCAACAGGCCCCAAATAAGACCCCTGGATCCACTTGTCCTCGAAGTCAGTGCCCCCTTGGCCATACCTCTTCCTCTTGATGAACACCTGTGATCCGAAAGGAGCGACGCTAGGATTGCCCCTTCCAAAGGCCTGAGCAGCGTGTTGTTGGCAAATCGTTGATGCCGCCCTTGACCACCACGATCTCACTACGGCATCTCCAAGCTTGCTGTAGGCTTTGGCCTGTCCAAGCAAAGTTCGCACCCGGCCCTTGATGAAACCAACAGCCCGCTCCGCCGCCCCATTTTGTGACGGATCATCGCCTTGAGTCTTCGTGACTATGATGTCCCTCGCCGCTGCCCACATGTCCATACCCTCGTTCATGAACTCCCTTGCTCGGTCGCAATGTACTCGTAAGACTGGCAGGCCCCGTTGTCTTAGAGACAGGTACATCTCCTGCAAGGCCTTGAGTGTCTCCGCCTTCTTCCTGGTCTTCAAGGGTCGACAAAGATAGGCAGACTCGAACTCGAAGGGCTCAGACATACGCTCCAGGGCCTTGATCTCCTCCTGTTTCGGATCATCTTCCTCACGAATAGCAGCAGGATCAGGGCCAAGCTCCTCCGAGACCCCTACAGGCGCACCTTCAGTAGCAGGAACCTCTGATACGACATCCTCGCCCTCCATCCCAGGCAACCAATCACCCTCGTCATCCGGTTTGTCCACGTCCCCAGGCTGCACACCAGACTGCTCAGTGTGGCTTGCCCGTCGCCCTTTGGATGCACTCCCGGCAATCCTTCCTGTATGGCAAATGGTCCCGTCTCAGGTGAATGCGCCATTCCTCCAAGCTGAATTTAGCGAGCTTCCCTTCACCTTCTTCACCATCTCGCCTTCCCAGCCTTCGAACCATACTGGTCAAAGCATGTTCTCGCGTAGCAAAACCGGGCCAAGCACATAGAGCATCACAGACAGAACTTATCATCCCCGTTGGCCATCGACTTGTTCTTGTACCGGCCTTCAGACCATGACCATCCTCACCCTCCAAAGACCAGAGATTGAGGTTCGTACCCAAAGTCGTAGGTCCCAAGTTTTCCAAATCACACTTGACCTCATCCATGGTGTACATCCTCGCGAAGGTTTTCCACATGGTCGTTCCAAACAGGTCGTAGCATGGCACCCGTCCATTGGCCTCCTCCTCATCCTCACTTTCCAGCTCCTCCTGAGCCTCACGAACCTGGTCCCTTCCATGTAGCGCTGGGCCCTCATCCCATTCCAAGGTTGAGCGTATCGGAAAACCCAAGCATCGAAGTTTCCCGACCTTTTCATCCGGCAACTTGTCGAGGCCGAGAGGTGTGTAGGCCGCCACGAGAAGCTCCTTCTGAGTTTGATCCTTCC